TCACGGGTTGAACAGGAGGACTAAGACTACCATTGAAGAACACGACTCTTCGGAATGCCGGATGGAGAGACCAAAGTCTCTCGGAGATTGTGTCGTCAAAGTGTCTCCTATTAGAAACACTGTCCAAAAGAGCTTCTTCCAACCGGCCAACTTGCATTATACAACACCCCGTACATACCGGTCTCATCTTACCTTTGACACGGGTTGAAGGGCGGCACAAACACTTGCAAGACATCACGGTATTCCGAAAAGGCGCAGGCACTGCGCAGTCTGGAGCCATATCTATTTCGGACTCGGCTTTCCTTAAAACCAGCATTGATACAGCATGAGATTGAATGTCAACAGCTCTCTGAATGAAAGGCTTGAGCTCTTGCAAGTTCTTAAGGAAAGCTTCACGTGCTTTCCGTTTCGCACACCGATCGGCAAGCTCGTTGCCACGCGTCCAGTATTCAGGCTGTCCTGTGTAGCCTCGTGGAACATGGGCCCTCACTTTGACGAATGTAATGTTGCAGTTCGGTCATTCTGAGCACAAAGCATCCAGGGCCCAACAGAGCATCCATGGCCCAACCATGATACCATGGTCTGATGCATTCAGCATGAAGCTTCGTGCTCGAGCACGCAACGGCACCCAGGAAATTGCACGGTTCGAGAATGTGGGAGAGGGGTAGGTCCTGCTGTTGGCGGCTTGCTCCTTTCGGCAAGGAGAGTGGAATCAGTTCGTAAGGCCGAACTGCAATCGACCGTAACTGTACAATCTTTATTGAAGTGTTGAGAGTTTAGCCCTTCCCGGCCCTTGGGTCCGCAATGTTCCTGACCGTTCCCGAATCACGGATTCGGGGTTCCGAAGGATGTGTCTGGTTTCTGATTCAGCCGCTTAGGTTTCCGGTTCAGTCGGTCTGGTTTCTGACTCAGCCGTTGTGGTTTCCAATTCAGCCGTTTCAGTTTCCCAATCATGACTGGCTTCTGAATCATGGTTGATTTCTGATTCAGCCGTTCTGGTTACTGATTCAGTGGTTCTGGTCACCGATTTTTCCGCCGACCGGCAAGACTCGCCCCTTCGCAGTATTTGGACTTCTGTTAGGAACAGCATGACGTAGCACCAATGCTTGCAGTAGCGGCATCGTCTACGAGCATCAACGTTGAGGGAGGGATCGTCGTGATGGAATGACTGCTCAGGAGAGGACGGAAGGCAGTGCCAACGCAACTGTGTAAACCGTTCTATTTGCACTGCTACCAGCAGGCGCCCACCAACCGTGATAGCACATCCAGGTCAATACAGACAAGCATGTTTGTAGCAATCACATTGACATCAATTCCGGCCACAACTTCAGATCGGGCCAGAGCAATATCTTAATCCATATTTTCTGGAATGCAGTAGCACGCATAATAGGTCAGGAAGACGAAGAATCAATGGGAGCAGGAAAAGTGAGACTGGCACTACAGGCACGACCGTAATCCCTTAGTAGTAAAGCCGCACACGATTGAGAGCAAAGGACTTGAGGTTGGTCCTTCGTGGTTGTTTTTACTAAGTGGTATTCTGCCTCCCGGCTTAAGTTCGAGGTTCTTCATGCCGACTCTTTGTAAGTCTGGACTGTGGGTGTGACAGCCCCCAGTCCGTGGCGCAGGTGGAGATCCCGGAGATCCAGTTTCTGATCCAGCCAAAGAGCCGGCGAAGTGTCAACACAATTTACAACTTGAGCCATGGGTGCAATGTGGAGAACACAATCACGTGACGTCAATTCGTGTTGGATGCTTGTATTGGCTTTTGCAAGCTAGTCAACTGTGAAGTGGCCACCCCAAAGCAAAACCACAGCAAAGGATAGCTGCGGCCGTCTTCAACTTGGGCGATCATGTTTGCTGGCTGATATTCAGAACAAGTTCGGGATCAACGCTTTGCAGCTTCATGCCCTGAGCCCACGACTCGCCTCCTTACCTCTCAGGCTCTAAGGAGAATGGGTTGCAACAGTCCCACTCCCAGCAGTGGCACTCGTGCCTGCGGGAAGACTCAGAGGTCCAGAAGAACCGCCGCATGGGTGGCGCCATCAGCGAGGAAGAGTTGGCCCGGATCTGCGAGAAGATCGACCAGCTCAACACCCTGCCGCTTGTCTGGTATGGGGCTTGGGACCGCAGCTATGATTGCATCTGACAGCTGCTTGCCTCAAACACCTTTCGAGCAACCAGGATAACGAAATGCAGTTGCTAACGCAGACGTGGTGCTTTTCAGTGCACGCATATTGGTGGCAGAAAAGGCTGGACGTGGAGCAGCCTTTCACCTTCCGTGTGCAAGACAAGCAAGGCCTGTGCTGCAATCCATATACGTCCCCGACCGCTCGCGAATTCAGAATCTGTAGACATTGCGCTCGAACGAAGCTCACCGCACTTGAGAAAGGCACATCGATCCGAGCTATGTGAAGCTGCTAACTAAGCCACGAAGCCCGAAGGCTTGTCGGAGTTCAAGCCTGCTCACGGCGTGGTGGTCTTGCCAGTGGCAGATGATGCCTCACCGCTGGGTGAAGACTACGACTAGGGTGACTAGGGCCTGCTTGCAGGGCTATGTACAAAGGAACGAAGACTCACATGACTCACGGTATTTCACGTGTTCAGAGGCAAACAGGCGGTTCAGGCTCCAGGGTCTACCGACCAGACTCCCGGATACGGCTAGGCCCAAGCAGGGTGAGAGAGAGGAATGGTGAGGATGAGTCTGAGCAATCGGAGCTTGGGACACAGCTTGGAATGTTCTTGTGAAGCTACATCTCCGGTCCCAAACTCAAGCGTTTAGCGATAAGCCGCTGCCGGATCCCGACATGGCAAAGCCATGGAGATGCCCAGCGCATCCCAGCGTCAAAAGACTCGAAGGTGCCTGGAAAAGAGCAGGTGTTCAGCCCCAGAGGGTTCTTTCAGCAGAATCTTGGCAGCGAGCCGACGGGTGCCGCGCCCCAGTAGCAAGGTGCCCTTGCGCTCGCGAGCCGCTGGGCGTGTCCTGGCCGTGGCCCTGGCCGGATGGCGCAGCGCCGCTCTGCTCGGCCGTGCCCGGGGCCCCGGGGCCCTGCGGAGATTCGTCCGCTCCGCCTCTGTCAGGTCTTGCAGGCTTTGGAGGCTTGAAGGAGGAAGTTGAAAGCATGTAAACAGCTCGGATACGAGACCGCAAAGCTTCAATCTGAGGTCACCGGTTTCTCATTCCGAAAAGACGGTCCTAAGCGTTTGATTGCGTGTTAGTTGACCAGCTGTGTCGCAGCGAGTCGCAACTTGTCATGTCACGATATGCGTGGCATGCGCCCACCCCCCTTAACGCAAGTTCTGTGCACTTCCCCGTGGCGCTGGCTCCAAGAATCAACTTATAAAACATAGACAGTCCTGCCGATCCTGGGCGCATTCCTGCACCTGGCACATAGCGCAGCAAGAGCCTGCCATGTTCCAGGACAGAGCTTGGCCGTTTGATGGATTGAGGGTTTTTGGGCCTGGGAACGTGGAGTTTGAAAAGCTTCGCGGGGAGTAAAGTGGAACACAGAGATTGTCAGGTCAAACTCTTTTCGGCAACGATCAGCAGGAGATTCCCAATCCAAAATCTGTGAGCAGTGCAGAAAAATTGGCATTGAAGCCGACAGGTCAGCATCGATCACAACATAGGGATCAAGGATCTTTGCGGAGACTGTTGAAAAAGCCCACCACGCCCAACAGTCAGGAAGCTTTGGAGCAGCTGATTCTACAGCTCCCCGGCCAGATTTCCGTGTAGTTCAAGGTGCTCCGATGCCGAGAGCACCAAATGCAGCAAGACTGCCCGTGTCCGGTGGTCCGGAGCGGCCCGACATGCAAAACGAGGGACCTCATCGCAAGTACCCCGCAACTCAGGTGCCTGAATCCCTATTTGGAGGGCATCAACCTGGGGTCCCTGCACAGAGGCCTTGACGCTCAGGACTTGGGCTCCACTGCAGCTGTGGTATCGGGTTGTGGGTGCAGACGGTGCAGAGGGTGCGCATGATGCACATCGCTTTGAGGCGTTGAGGATCAAAGTCCATCGCTCCAGGCATCTACAACGGCTGCATCGAGCTCCAAGAGCTGAAGGTGAAGCCCGAGGCACCCCGGGATTCCGGGATGCAATCGGGCAGTCGTCATCACATTTACTCGCTTGCAACTTGTGTGATGGTATTTCAATGAGATGCCTGCAAGCAATGAAGGTGACTCGGAGTCTTGGGTGGAGAAAGGAAGTGACGAGGGTCAGCGTAAGAGGTTTCAGACAACATCCACATGATTGTCATTTCCGTCTGAAGCATGAACTTCTCTCACAGCGGCGCCCGTTGTCAACTTTGTGCCCAAGAGCTCGAAGCTCGGGGCCGAAGGCTTCGAGTTCTATCCTGGTCCCGGTGGACAGGTTCTCGCACTGCTTGGCGTGCCTGGATTCAGCGTACAGCGCGGCTACCTCCAGCTGATCAGGCCTTGCAGTCCTTTCAGGGCTCAGGGGTTGGGGGGCCCAGGAGCGGTGGTCTCACCAGTAAACCGTCTTCACCACTTGGTGATATATGGTGATATGGAAGGCTGCAGATTCCTTGGTCCAGTTTGGCCTCCGGAAAGATTGCGCTGGAGGCCCGAAGCCGGAGAGACAGATTGAGCACACTTTTCTGGACCATTTAACTGCTTGGATGCGTTTATGGCTGAGATTTTGCGCCGCCCTCATAATAGGCTTGTCTCGAAACCATTCCGAGCTTGAAGATCAGGAAACCGTCAGTTCAGGTATTTCGATGTTGCTTTTTGGCCCGACCCGTTGTGCTCACCCTGGTAAGATGAGCATGCGTATTCAGAGCTCCGTGCAAGCTTGGAAACGTTCCCATGGGCAGGTCCGAGGCGTCCACATCGAGGCAGCTGCCCAAGATTATTTTGCCGGATGTCGGATCCGGAAGTCGTGCCAGGTTCTCTCCCGGATTCCGCTGCAGCCTCTGCAGAGACCCCCTGCATCCCCCTGCAGAGCGTAAGGTGGACCAGATCGCCGATGGGCGCACCAAGGAGGAGCTTATCAAGCAGATGCGCGAGGTTGGGACTCGAAGATTCGGATTTTACGTTCTAAGTGGCTCTCGGGTGCGCAAGCGTAGGAAAACACAAGGAGAAAACTTCAGCCGCTTGAAACTGCAGTCTTGGTGTGAGAGCTTCCGCAAAGATGTGCCAGGTGAAACAGCAGGCCATCCAGCTCCGAATGGACCAGGCAGGAGCTTCAGACCGTTATACGTTTCAAGGGCAGGGGCTTTCTACTGTCGGGGTTGCACGTCCTTGAACGGACTTCGGCCAGTCGGAATTGCGGACCGGGAACACAAACCTAGCCCGCACCCGAAATGGCGGACCTGAAACGCGTGTCGTCCTTTGACCTCTTCGTTACCCGTTCGAAGGCCCCGAGCCTGTTCCTGGGAAGCCAGCAGGTCAAGAATCTGCTGGAGCAGCGGCGAAAAGTGCCTCCGGCTGTTGGACATAGTGGAAGATGTCGCAGAATCTGCTGTCCATAAGTTTGCGACTCGAAGCTGGAGTCAGAAACTGCATCGACTGATGTAATCGCTGCATGGTGCTGCAACGTTGCACTGTTTGTAATGCATCCTAGCAGATGCCAGCAGCAGCAGCAGCAGCAGTTCCAGCCCGTATTCCGTTGAATCCCCTTCACTCTCCCTCCGCCTGTCGCTCGGGTTGCACCTGAGCCAAGGCCGCAGCGGACCTCGCCTCTGCAGACGAGGGCTTCGCGATGAAGTTTGCGCGGAGGCGGAACTCTGCAGGAGAAGCCAAAGCGAGCAGGAAGCCGGGGCCTCTCAGCTCGACCCGGGAGGTTCATCAACAACCTCACCGTGTCAATCGAAGATGAACCTTGGCAGCATCGGAGAAGAGTTGACGTCAGGCCCCGCTCCCGACTCGCACAAAGGAGCTGTGTTGAGGACCCTGGAAAGTGCCAGAAAGGGCTCGAGGTTTGACGTGATGTTTGCTTTTGACGTGATGTTCGCTTGGCCTGAAAAACCGTCAGGTCTCCTTCAGCTTCAGCAGCAAGGCCTTGGGCATCGGAGCCAAGCTGGAGAGCCGGGGGCCGGGACGGGGTTGTATGCGTCAGACTCCAGTACGGGTCAAGTGCTTATGGGCTCAAAATCTAGATCCGGTCCGGGGGATGCGAGAAAAGCTGAAAGGTAGTTGTTGTTCTTGCATCATGGTCTGTGCATGTCTGTGCCCATGCTGTCCGCCTTCTCTTGCAGACTGAAAAGGAGCATTCCCCTCTTCCCCTGTGCTGTTTCCAGGAGCTGCCCCGCCTGGCAGTGCTCTCCACAGACGAATCCTTCAAGGCTCCGGGAGGAGGTTTGCGAGATTTTGGGCCGGCTGAAGTTGAGGTTCATGTGTCGCGAAGCAGGGGTGAGATGCAACGCTGCAATGCTGGGTGCAGCGCGGCCTCCTGAAGAGCTCTCCGCTCTTAAGAGCTTGTTGCTCTCTGGGCAGGAGCCGGTCAAGGGCGAGACCGTCAACATCGCTCTTTGGCTCCAAACTCCCGCCAGGGCAGAAAGAGTCAGAGGGTTTCTTCCAAAGTATGCCGTTCCTGGTAGGGGGTTTGCTCAACGAGGATTCGCCGTCTTCTGATCTAAGCATTCTCGGTGCATTGCAGGCAGGATAGGCTCGCAGCGGACCGCGATATTCCTGTCTGGCAGATTCCGTTGTTCGTGCAAAGTTTACTCTTGCGCTTCAGGCGGACGACTCCATGTACAAGGTTGTGAGGCAGGGACTCGCAACGCCATGGATGAGTCAGAATCGCAGAAACTCGTAACACCTTGTTTTTGGAGCATGACAACTATATCATACCCGGCAGCATCAACATTTATAGTGGCCAAGGTTTGCGCTCTGTGCTGATTTCCTCGACCCTTTGCAGGATCGAAGGCTTCGCTGCACAGCTCTACCAGCCTGGGAATCCCGCAGCAGCGACATATGTGCTGCCGGGGCCTCAGAGCTCGGCCCTGAAGAGGTTAAAACACAGTGCAGCAAGTGACAGATGCAGTTCTGTGAGACCGCCTTCCGGCATCAAGATGTTGTGATACGATGACCGGCTCCGCATCCGAAGGAGCCCGACGGGCGCGAGCCTGAATTTGGCCCACCTTCCGCGGGAGCAGCGCATTTTCCTTGAGCTGGACTTGGGGTTGTCGAAGCCCAGTGAGGCCGGCCCTTCAGGCAAAAACATCTGACAGTACATACGATTGATGCATGCCGGCGGAATCTTAAGCATCATACACAAGCCATTCCCTGTGCCGGGGTTAGCCGGCAACGCCATCATGGCTGATTGGAGGCTGCATTAATTTTAACTCGGAAGCGCCCTCCTATACCACGCAAGTCAGTTCTCCTCGGCGAAAGGTGCAGCTGCTTCGCTCGCAGGCTCTCTGATGAAGCTGTCTCGGTATCGGGCTGCCAGTTGTTGTGTCAACATGTGCTGGGTCCGGGTGCATTGCACGTACGAAATGCTGGACGCGGATGACTGGCATGCATGTGTACAGCGGGTGCCTAGCCATGCGTATGCCTCGTGCGATCCAATGTAAGCTTGCAGAATTCTCGGCATGCTTCCTGACTCGAAACTTGCAACTTTTTCCCTCGCCCCGGCCGCGGAGGTGAAGCAGCTAATGCAGGCAGGAGAGGCCCTGGCTGCAGAGGCGCGGCCCGTTGTCTCTGCCGCTCGAAGCTCTGGGTGCGAAGCGGTGGCTCCGACCGATCTCAAGAGGTTTAGGGTTTAGGGTTTACGAGAGGATGCTGGGTGCTTCCACGGCCTTGCCCTTCCCGACTGCTGGTCATAAGCACCATAATGATGCGGGTGACTAGGCAGTTTCTTCAACGGCTTTGAACATGTGCGGGCTGATGACTCTTTGTGTCGGCTTCGTGTTGGTTCCATTGACGTTCGCAATCAGTACGCCTACCAACCGTTTAGGCCGAGCGGAAAGCTGGCGAGCAAGCAAGCAAAGAAGCGCTCTGCAGGTTTGGAAATGTCTCGGTTTGTGTACGCCTCGAGGTTTTTCCGGTCGGTGTTGCGGCTTCATGCTCGGATTCCGTTGAGCCTAGGCTGAGGCAACTGCAAGTTCAGCGGCTGCCTTCATGTCACAGGCGGAGTGAGCACTGATGTTGACAGTGCAGGATGCCAGGCTGAAAGCTCTGCTGATCCCAGCCGAGTTGGGCTCCCTCGCCGCAGTTTGGGCTAGGGTTAGGGCCCAGGAGGCTTTCGTTTGCGCTTGTGTTGGCCTGTACTATCGACGGTGTGGAGATGCCCCAAGCCGCATAGGAAGCCAGAGACCAAATAGATGTAGTGTGCAGTCAGACTCAAGCACTGATCATGCGGTCGGCAATGACTCAGTAGCACCAGCTTGTCGTTTTAAGAATTCCAAGCACAGTGAACCGTCCGATCAGCTCTGCAAACGGCTTTGGTGGACACCCAATCAACGCTTCCGAGCTTCCCATTTCCACAGCACTGTTTGATACTGGTTGCATAGAGTACATATGGCATGGGAGATGCTCATAGCCAGAAGCAGCTCCATTTCAGCAGCTTAAGCTGGAAACCGAATCGGCAATTCGCAGTTGCAAAGAAGTAGGGTCCTATAAAAACAGACAGCCTGATGGCTAGAGCGCCCCGAGCATGGAAGTTGCAGGAGAAGCCGCAGTGCTCATGGAAGAGGCCGCGGGACCGGGCGCCAGGCTTTTCAGAGCTTGCATTGTTTATGGGTGGGGTTTATTTGGGCTACAGAGTGCCAGTTGATCTGCTGCGGCCGCTCCAAGACGGAATTCGTCGAGGGAGTCGTGCTGTGACAAGAGACCACGCATCAACGCTCGAAGCAAGCTGGAAGGCTCTTGCATAAGGGGAAACTTCAGGTTTCCATTCGCAAGATTTCGCATGCTGCAGTCATGGTTCCCACTTATGAGAGAAGCAACCAACTGTGCTTGATCTTATGCATAATGACTGCGCAGCACTTTCCCAGCCTCAGTAGCCTGGGCTATTGGTCTTCTCGTAGTCCCTTTTCCAGGCATTGAAAATCGAATATGGTCAGCTCTTCGCGCGGCGGCTGCTGAACGAGCAAGGGTGCTCGCCCTGTCATTTGCATTTGCACGTACTTTTCGTCTAGCCCAGGCCGGGGCCGGACCGCATATCCGCACAGCAGAACATGGCTTCCTGCCCAGGTTGGCTGTTGCCGACGAAGCGGTGCTCAGCGACGACGAGCAGAGGCCGCAGTGAGTTTGGTTCACCCAGATGCCATTCGCATTTCGAGCAGTTTCTGGGATTGCCCGGACTGTTGCAGAGGATCGTTGATGTGCACGGTTTGCTTGCGTGTCAGGCGGCTGAAGCTACTCGAAGAGCCCGGGCAGCAACGGTTTGGGCAGGAAGTGAACCGCTGGTTTCTTTGTTCCGACTTCCTTGGAGGCAAACTAAAGCGACAAGCCTCAGCCTGGAACCGAAGCCCCAAAGGACGCTGAAGCGCTGGGGGAGGTCTCCGGCTTGAATGCTCGAAACTCGAAACACACCCAAATACCCTCACATCCCAAGAAGGCGTCAGATATGTCCAGCAGCCCGCGATCATGGCAGTTTAGAAAGAGTGCGACTTTTCGAAGCCCAGGACGCTTTGCCGGTGGAGCCTTTGGCCGCCCAGCGCCTTGCGGCCTTTGAGCTCGCCGAGACCCGAAAGCAAAAGCGGCCAGGCCAGGACGCCGGGAGTCGGCTGAGATGCCTCCTGGACGCCTTGTGTTCTGGAGGCTTCTTCAGTGCCTTCTTCGGACAGATGTGCTGCGCCGCGCCGCCCGCTGCAAGCGTGGGCATGGAGGACGCCCGCCTTAAATCTTAAACCACGAAAGCCCGAAGCCCGTTCTCGCTTGGCACTCGCGAGGAGCTCCAGGATGCCACGGAGTTCGAAGCCGTGGAGGCTCCACAGAACATCCTTGCGGAGGCCGGAGGAATCCGGAGGATCCTGAGGATGGGGAGGGCACCACGGGCTTGATATCCGAAGTGCTCAGGTGCGCTTCGGCGACCTGGGTGTGCGCATCATGGATGACTCCAAAGAGGACACGGAGGATGCAGAGGTGCCCTCTTTGATGGGGCACAGTTTAAAAGCAAGGCTAACACTAGAAACGAAGCAGGTGTTGCGCCTCTTCGTCCACAGCACGGAGCTGACGGCGACCGTCGCAACTGGCCTCGACTACCGCGGAAAGTCCTCTGCCAACCTCAAAATAGCAGGCCGCGAGTGGGGCGGTTTTCTGTGTTCGGCTGCCGTACACGACTCACACCGTGAGACAGGTCGTCTGGGTGGTGTGGAGGCCACGCACATGAAGCAGGATGTCATCAAGCAACTTGACATGACATTTTCCTCCTCTGTTGCTCTATCTGTATCCAACCCGTCTTGCCTCTGCCTACTGTGCTGACTGTGCTGCACAGTCCCATTGTGCTCTAATCGCTCTTAAAAGCAAGGTCGAGGTGTGGGGAATTTAGTGTAGATTTGGGACAGAGACGGACGCTCCAAACTCGAGGATCCTGGATGCTGGAGAAAGGGCGGGCGCGGCCAAGTTTGCCTTGGAGACACCGGGCAGAGCAAAGCTCGAGGCCTCGAGGTCAACAGCTGGTGTGTAGCCGAAAGCTCAAGCCGTGCTTGTCCTTGAAGTTGCATGTGTCCAATGGCAGAACTGCCAGTTCTTTCAGGGAAGGTATGATGAAAGCTTCCCGTCACGATTCGAGAATCTCCCGGCCAGCTGAGGAACAAGCTTGAGGAGACCTGCAACGTGCTGCCACTCGGCCAACTGACAGATGGCAACAGTTACAGCAGCTTAGAGCTGAGAACCGATACGAAGGACTGACTCAAGAACGAAGCTCTGGAGCTGAGGTCAGTGATGTTTCACACGGCGCCGATCGAAGTCTTCTTCATCCCCAGCTGCCTGGCATGCACCGGATCGCACCGGCTCTGAGCACCAGCTGAAGGCTTTTCGACGGGATCATCTTGCGTGTCTGTTTGTTTTTCCCTCCAACAGGGCGCGAAAAAAGGGTGTGAACAAAAGCCCCGCCCTTTGTTTTTTCCAGCATGGAGTGTCTCTGGGCTCTTCCGAGCACGAGACGGCCTGCACCTGCCTGGGGGAATGCTGAACCATGCCAAAAATCCGCCGGAAAGCAGTTTAGCAGCAGCTTAGGTATGGTGCCGAAGCTCCTGGACTTCGTTGCGCCGCCCCCGCCTTCTGCTGCGCCGGAACCGACACCCAAGGCGGCCAAGACGCCGTGCCATGGCCCAAAGATTCCTCCGCAAGAGAGCTCGAGTCCTGATGCTGGCAGATTCCAGTCCTTGGGTTCTGACCGCCGTCTGTTGGCAATGGTACCCGTGGGTCAGGAATCATCCCCCCCAGCCAAGGAAGACGCCGAAGTCGGACATCGCATCCCCAAGGAGCATCATGAGCCGGACGGCAGCCGGGCGAGGCTTAAGGCTCAGGCTCAGGCTTTGGACGGACTTGGCTTTCAGGATGCAGTGGCCGGTACATAGATGCCAGGATTGGTGGGGAATTTCTTCTGCTTAAGGTGCCAAGCTCCGTTGCGAAACATCGGAGCTACATCATGTGGGACAGGGGACTTGCGCGGATGAGGGCGGTTCTGTTCCGTTTGCCCTCATCTCGAGTCGGCTACAGCACCAATTTGATCTGGGGCCGTTGCTCTGCTCAAGCTTTGACCCATCGGCATCCGGACAGGGCTGTCTACCACTGTGGCAATGTCCTCTGACCGGCCCGAAACAGAAGGACAGAAAACCTCACCCTCCAATCGTGGAAAAAACCGAAGATGAAGCATACCGAAATGAGAAGAGTGTAGGACTGAGGGAGTTGAATGGGCTTGACGATCTGCCGAGCCAGGCGGACGCACAGGGAGCGGTGCAGCAATTGTTGGGCAAGGAGGGCGACGTCGGCCAGTCGCTTGGAAAGAGACCTGTTCAGGGTTCTCCGCTGAGGAACCCCTGATCATGGATCTGATCATGATATGATTGTATGATCATGCGACTGCACGACCAGAGTGCCTCTACCTGTGGCAGCTTCACTGTTTTGAAGGAACTGTCGCTTGCCATTGCCGACAATGTCAACCTGCTGCAGCTCAGGTACGCTGATGCCGCCTATGACCGCGTGCCCGATCAGGCACGCTTGGCACCCTTGTTTGTTACTAGAAACATGGTTCACTGCACGTAACCCCGTAGATTAATCTTCAGTAGGTGGTCTTGGTTGAAGGTTGCCTTTGAGATTGAGCGAGACGGAGGCATGCTGCATGCTTCGCCTTTGACATTTCCGCAGGTGCATTTTGATGTCCACCTGGCCTCCCCAACGATCCACCTGCCAGTGCGAGACATCGGCAAGGTGGGGCCCACAAAGCCGTGGCTAGAGACTCAGGACTCAGGGAGTCCGGTTTCGACTAGGGTTCCGAGATTGAACGAGAAAACACCTCTGCACGAATTGCTTGACCTCATGCAAAAGCCGAGCGGAAGAGTCTTCTACATTCACAAGAATCTTGGGATTTATGCCGAAACGATTCCGCTTGTAGCTTCCACTGCGTCCACCCAGTTACAGCTTTGAGAGGTTAGGGCTTCTTGTTCAACAAAAGACAACGTAGATAAATTAGCATTCAATATCCTGATGCCCGACTCTGTGAAGATCCGTGGCTTGCACTTCCATTGAAAGGCAACAATGCAGAGACCCGAGACTCAGCAACTGAAGCCAGGCCTTAGAGCGCCCGAGCTCCTGTGAGCTCCTGTGAGGACCCGAAGACAGCAAGAAACTCTGAAGACTTCGCTCCCAGGACCCCAGCCTCGAAACATAGCCCTTGAAGGTGGTGGCGAACCTCGGTTCCCTGACACTGCTGACGCCAGAGGTTTGCTCCATGAAGGCCGTGAGGTGCGGCCCGCACGGGTCGGGTCACGGACCATGGCGCGTTTCATGGGAGCCCTGCTCGCATGCAGGCTGGGCGTATCCCTGGAGGACACCATGCTGAAGGTGGCGACCAAGCGGGACCGGCAACAAACCTCCGGCTTCCGGCCTGAAGCGAAAAGGTCCTGAACAATCTTCCGCCTTTGTTCCAAGAGACACTCCATCGGGGAGGGTTGAATTTTCTACGTAGATTCTAGATGAGATACTTGGCTAGTGAAGGATTGCGATCAGGTCCGTCCCTCCACGAAGGTTCAAAACTCAGATGCTGCGAAACATCCAGGGAGTGGTAGGTCCCACTTTCGCCGTCGCAGGAAGAGTTCAACGTGATCTCGCCCCTACCGATCGACATCAAGCTAAACCACAACGAGGACGCCGAGGTGCTGAAGGCGGGATGTCGATACACTCTCAGGGGAAAACGGTCTGTCCGCAGGGGTCTTTGGTCCAGTGCAGAAGTCGTCCACCCTCTTGCCCAACGGAATCGAACCCGATGAGCCACCCTGCCCAGTTACAACCATTGGGAAAGGATCCTAGAGCATGCGCCTGTGTGAAGTTGTTGTGCAAGTTCTAGGATGAAGAAGAGAGGCACAACAGTTTCACCGCACTCCCCTTGATAGTCCCTAGATAAGCCTCAGCTGTCCAGTAGTTCCCTTGAGAGCATGTCCCTTGAAGGCAGCTCCGAAGCTTGGCAAAGCATCCGGAGAGTCCTGAAACAGAAGCCTCTGCAAACCCTTCAACTTCCGGAAGTTCCGCATTGGTCTCGGCTAGAAGTCTAGGCTGATCACACCGGAGGCCACGACCGGACTCTCAACAGCCGCCTTAGGGTCCCTTTGGAGAGATGCCTTGAGGCCGAGGTGAAGCTCACCACTGGAGACCTCATCCTCACCGCGGCTCCGCAGGCAGTGGCCAGGCTGAGTGAGACTTCGGGGGATTTGATGTTTTCAATATTCAAGGCTACCCTAACCTCATATGTGAATCAGTTTCTATGCCCCTGGCGAACTACGGTCGATGCGGATTGCCGAGGTGAGTGTGCTCGCGGCTCTGCCGGACGTATTCGCAGAGCTGGCCCCGCCAAGCCAGGAAGCTTTAGTGTCTATCCGTCACATGGGCACTTCTTTTCGAATGCTTGCAGACTGTGAGCCTGCGAGAGGATGCGGAGACAGTCGAGCAGGGCGAGGAGTCGCTTGAGGAGTGCAGTCAGGGAATTCGATAGCTCTTAAGCTTTGGAGTCCTCTTGGTGTCTGCGACGACACCACCAATGCTCCCAAAGTCTCAGAACCTTCGGCGGTCAACATTCCCGAGCCCGTGGCAGCAGGTCTTTTTTAAGGCTAGTCGGTGCTGGCCCCAGGAGGCACTCGAGGACGTCGAGACAACCCAGGGCCAGGCGCCTTTTTTCGGGAAATGGGGGGGGGGGGGGG